ACTATACACGGCAAGCCCGAAACTGGAACTGTTTGTAGAATATATACTATGGAGTTGTATGATCTGGGTTTGCGTATCACAGTTTCAGTTGTGTGGCTCATTGTGATGGAAGTGTTAACACTTCAATAACACATAGATTGATTTATAGATTTGAGAGACATATTCACCAGGTGCGCACCCCCGGGGAGGCAGTTGATACATAGCTGGGTAGGGAGGTGCCTCTGAGTTCTCAAAAGTGTGACCATTTTTATATCTGGGTAGTGGCAAAATCTATACTCATATTTATACCATTATAGGTACCATTTCTGTCATCACTGTTTATTCCAAATAAAACAGTTGCCTATGGATCTGAGGCCGGGATCTGAGCTAGATCATTCGTTCAAATAGGACCCATAAGTATACCAAATCGGAAAAATATTACCGATATTTATACCTGTCTAGACCATTTCAGGGGCACGTCCCCATTAGGCAAGTTCTATGTGCCCCCCCCCCCCGGGTGTGCACCATGTCCATCCAAGTGGCACCGTCCCTCTATCACAGGGACTGTGCAAGTTGTAACTGTTCCTCAAAATGTTAGTAATAGTGGAAATCTCAGACAATTAACAACTGCGGCCACTGACGAGGCGGATCACCGCTTACCCTGGAAATACAGAAGCACAGGTGGAATTCTCGTAGATACCAGCAGGGAGCTGATATGAGATATTTTATAAAATTAAGTATTCGAGTGATTTTATAAAAATAAACATTTTTTTAAATGATGTATAGCACAACTAAAGATGCCATTAAACCAGGATCTCCAACATGTAAAACAGCAACAACAACAACAACAACAACAACAAAGAAACAAAGGATGGACACGGTCACCCAGTACCAGAAAAAAAACTCGACAGTGTTTTCCGGTAGTGATCATACTTGTTCGTACTCGTATTGGAGTACCGGTAAGACATAGCATCGATTCGAAACAACTATTCTAACTTAACATCATTAGTGTTCTTCAAAATAAATTAAAATGACTTAAAGCTACTATGTATTCAACGAATTTGGGGAAGGCTTTGGTACGATTGTTTACGTACAGTAGTTATACACCAGACTTTCAGTGATTATGTCACTCTATGGTCGGAGAGGGCGCTAGATAATTGCTTTACGCAAAATACGGCAATCATCTGTTGTGGGATACCTGATATGACATAATTTTTCATGTCCATGAAATATTACCTTCACCAGCTCCAAATAACTCGAATTTTATGCTGGTTTTAGGCACCTCGGTTGCAATAAACACCGGAGAAAGCAGCTTTCCGCCAATGAATTCTGGTTGAGAGCATTACATTGATATTTTAAAGATTTGTTGCCGCCATAACGCAGAGAAAATAACATATATTCATACTAAAAATATTTTTGAGGTTAACGCATTAACAGCGAGAAACCCACATAAAAAGAAACTCGTGAGAATCGAAACAAGGACGGTAAAGGGGGACAGTAAAGGCCCTATTGACAGAAGTGAATATGCTAATGAGGAGGATGTGTTATTTCGAGGTCATGTGACCCCATTCGCCATGATATAGTGAGTCGTCCACATCGCCGATGAAAACATTTTGTGTAATGCCGTGACATGGGGTCGTTTGTGAACTTGTATCCTTGATATACCCCCACAGGAGTGTCAAACATCTTATCTTTGATATTATATGAATACATTGCTGCACCATGAGTGAGGAAAGCTGGGGGCATCGCGGCGGTCTGTCCTTCTTGGTCCAGATCGGGTTTTCTCGAGAACAGGTCCATGTTGCATCGGGACCGTTGACAATTCCATTATTACGGGAGATAGCTGCCTCTGTCATCGCTAAAAAGGTGATATTTGTTTTTCTTGTTTATATAATTTCAATATTCAGTCGTCATCCTATAATTTATGATGGCGGTGTTCATGGTTAACTGTTTTTTTTTTTCTGGCTGATATGTGGAAAACTTGAAAAACCTAGCTTGTCATCACCGGTCAGGAAATGAACTGACTGATAAAATGGACAGGTCTGTCGATTTCAGGTGATCATCCTTCATTTCATGTTTATTCAGTCGCCAATTCGTCAACCCAGATGTGTACATCTTACGTTTGCCGCTACTGTGTTTGGAATCGTCTGAACTCGCACCATTGTAAATATGTAGGGTTAGTGAAACAACGCGAGTCTGCATATACAGCGTCGTCTGAGGCGAGATTGAGGGGCCCCTTCCGCATGTTGTTCTCAGTGGATTGATATGGCGACCAATTGTGCCCAGGACAAATGTAAATAAACAATAGCCGTTCGCCATTGTTTCTTCTAGGGTGGGTTGGTATGGGAGGTGTCTGGGGTTGATAGTTTTACCTTTTTCAACCCTGCTACCTGCATTTTAAATGAGGAACGAGTTTGCATGCAATAACTACATGTACTGATGAAATGGTGTCCCCCAAGTTTCTGCTTTATTACTAGCTCCATGATTATATCATGCCATGCATGATAACTATTATGTACATGGCATTCAAATACCGTTTGTGACATCAATTTGATTAAATGTCCCTTGCCCTTGTATTTGCCCTTGCCCTTGCCCTTGGGGAGACATTTACTCTATACAATAGCATACCCTTAGCACATGAAAGCTTGACATACATACACAGGATGCGCCACCTTGGCACATGATATTCATAATTGCTACTACTGCCTCTATAACCCCAATGTGGCTAAAGGCTTGCCATCATTATGGCCCAGAGTGTGCTTGCTAACACAACAATCTATCTATGTTATCTGTTCTGTGTTTCCCATTCTCTTCATGCCTATTAAGGCTATTTGCTTCCAGAACGATCAGTTAAATAACAATCTACTGCTGCTTGATTTATTTTTGATATGACTGATAGATCAGAGGGAGAAAACGCTAACAAATCATCAATGAACTATTGAAACTTTATCAGAAACACAAATAATGCTATAAAGAAATTATTTTAGTAAATTGACTGTACCAGTGTTTCAACTTGAATTGTGTTATAAATAGATATTCACCATTTTGTCAATGATGACTATAGTTTGCACCCCCTCTCTCCAGTGACAAAACATATAACAACATTAACAAGCCTTCATGACTTCACCAGCCACAAACAAACCCGTCCAAATTTACTGGTATCAAATGTGCATAAAGGTAGACTGTACACATAAAGTAAATTTGGAAGGGTTGTGTATTTTTATAATATTTTATAATTGTATAATATTGACTACTGTGGAGGTCTGTGTTCAATAGATCTGACTGTATATGTCAATTGGGCAAAACAAAAAATGCTGTGACCCCTGATTTCTTTCGTTTTTATACTTATTATGTTTATAAAATGAGAATTTTATTTTAGCAAGCTATAAATTCTGAAACTATAGTAAGATGTTTTTCAAAATCACTATCTCAGTATATGAATTAGCACAACTAGTTGCATCCCGGCAAAAGCCGGCATGTCATATCGATTTAGAGGCCTTACTGTGCATATGTGCACCTCCACTAGAACCACACATATACACCTCGAGTATAACCACATATGTACACCTCCATTTAGCCCTGAGTACAGTCCTGTAGGTTGGCCTCCTTTCGTTGATCA